CTGCCACACTACACAATGGAAGCGTATATAACGAGCCAGCTGGCGGCAAGGAGGACTCCTCTCCGGCTCCCCAACCCAACGACTCGAACACCGCTACCTCAGCCCACCACCTCAGCGTGGGCTGGAGGTCCCCTCCGTCTATTGACCTATTCCCCTTTGTAATTCCCATTTATGTAATAAGGATAAATAATGTATATACTGTGTATACTACTATACTAACCCGCTACACATCGAGTAATAGGTCCGAAGGACCCATCATTCGATAAGTTCTATAATGTTCACCTTGAAATAATTCATGAAGAAGATTTCTGAAGTTCATCTCCCAAGTTCCAGTTGGTATGAATGCATATGTCTTTTATGGTTTTTGTGACACGTTCCCTCTCTATTATTACTCGGCATCATCAGTTAACATGTTCTTTTACGCGCTCCAATGCTAGAAATGCGACGCGCCCGCGCAAAGATGGATGCTCTTCGATGCCTTGCGCTCTGTACCGTAACTCCTCGGTTTGTGAGCTGGGCAATTCGTCCAGCTGATTCAACCTCCTGACAATGCTAGTCAGCCTACCCACTGCCCATCCAGCTGATACACACCCGATCGATGACGCCGCTATAATTAGACGCCGAATTGCGAACCTACCTACATTCTGTCTAATTCTACTGCATATTCAGCTAGTTTTCGCCCTTTTTTTGCTTTTGAGATTTTTGACCCCTTTTTGAAATGGATACTGCCAAGTTACAATGGAGTGGAAGTATCATGGTCGTTTTGGAGCCTGATACTTAACGCTTCAAAGTTATTTGCAGTACACATGTATGACGGACTGATAGTGCGGTGAGTTCTTGAAAACATTTGTTTATCATAATGTTTATTTCCGTCATTCACTTTATTGACATGCAGTTTACCGTGTAGTAAGTGTTTGGAAACTTAAAGCATGATTTTCATTTCATCTTTCTTCACAACATATGTTATGTTAACTTTATTACAAATAGAAGTTAACTGGTGCTAAAGTATATGAATAATCCCTATCTATTCAGGTTCGGAGCCAGCGGTACCTTAGAGGAGTCACGAGAGCCGAAATAGAAGAATATTGTAAATATATGTCGAGATATGTATCAGGAGACTATTTAATAATGTGCGTGACAATAAAGTAAATAATGGAAATAAACATTAGGATAAACAAATGTTTTTCAAAAAGAAGAAACGATAGAACACTCACCACACTATCAGTCCGCCATACATATGTACTGCAAATTACTTTGAAGTGTTAAGTATCAGGCTCCAAAACGACCATGATACTTCCACTCCATTGTAACTTAGAAGTATCCATTTCAAAAAGAGGTCATAAATCACGACAAGCAGAAAAAAGGGCGAAAAAATCCTTACTGTATATGAAGCGCTCTGTCTGTCTGTTCGCTTGTTTGTTCGTTTGTCCGGAAATTTGATATAACCTGAAGAAACACCTGGAGAAGTCGGGTCAAATTTGGAATGGGTTGAGCATAGGGTAAGTGCAACAGAGCACATGTGAGCCTAGCGACGCTCCGCCCCCAAGGGACGGGGCATGCGCCGGAATTGGGTGGGCAAATTCTTCTCATTCGGTCTCATAACAGTCCACACGCTTGGAAAAAATGTGCAAAGGCAAGGGATGGGTTAACAATTAAAATAAAGGAAACCTACCGGCGGTGGGCGGAGCGTTCTCGCAGTGAGCGGTACTTTTCACAGAGATCCACAATTCGATTCAGCGAAGGCGTCGAGGCCAGGAAAAAAAATAAAAATAGTGACCAAGGCCTTACGCGTGCTGGGCAAGCATAAGCTCAGCCTAGCCCGCCCAAGATGGGCGGGGCGTGCGATGAGGTGAGAACTACTTTTCAAAAATGACTGCAACTTCGTTAAAACGTTCTAGAAAGAAAGAGTGGTTAGAGGTAATGGAACAAATGAGGGGCCAAATCCTCGAGGTGGGCGGGGTTGGCGCCAAAGTGGGCGGGGCTTAGATCAAAAATTTATAACTCTATTTAGAAACAATGTGGGATGCGGGAAAGAAGTGGTAAGATGTAGTAGAACAATTGTGGTTAGATCCCACAAGTGGGCGGGATTGACGTTGAAGTGGGCAGGGCTTTCATCAAAATTATCAAGTCTCTTCAGATGTGCTTTAGTACGTGGGAAAAAGGTGTTTGGAGTTCATAAAAGCGATGTGGTTCGAAGTCTGAAGTCAAAAAGGGAGGCGGGGCTGACATCAAAAATTTATACATCTGTCCTTCACACTAACCCTGACCACATAGGTGTACAATTAGGGAATAGTACTAAACTCTTTCAAAAATTAGGCTAAAAGTTAGTATCCATGATCACACACAGTACTTCCTTCTATACAAGAGCAAATGCGCCACATTAACTCCAGACCTCATAAAATAAATTCTACAGTAACCCCGGCCACAAAGATGCATACCCTGTAGAGACATGTAAATCCCTACAACTACCCAAAGGTGCTGTCCTTTTGAAGTTATTGTTCATGGCCACAAACAGCCCGAACTACAGTTTCTTCGACTACATGAACTGCTGAGGTATTTGATTTGGATACATCGGTTTACTCTTCATAGCCACACACAGCCCCATACAGCCCCATTTTACAGGAGTACTCCTCATGACCACACACAGCCCAAAGCAAACTTCAACTAAAATCAGAAGAGGGTGAAAATATTGCTTGATTAATCCCCGTCACCCTTGCTGAAAAATATTGTGTATACAGAAGTGTTGCTTTGATAAATTACATCTTCAAAATCAAGTGTCATGTATCCATGCAAATACTCCAGCCGAGCTGGACAAACATTTCTATTACACATCAAACACCCTTCTTGAACTGCTTGCCGGTCAGTCACAATTTTCGTGTACTAGAAAAAAACATCATGCTTCCCTTGAGACAAAAAAATGACGGCCGCTTTAGAAGTGCCGGGGAAGAGGCTCAGATGATAAAACTCTCATGCTAGAAGCTCATGTCGCTCCGCCCTTATGACTAGAGCCCCCAGCGCACACAATAGCGTGCGTAGCCGCCTGGTAGCTAAATATGCAGTAGAAATAGACAGAATGCAGATAGGTCCGCAATTCGGCGTCTAATTATAGCGGCGTCATCGATCGGGTGTGTATCAGCTAGATGGGCAGTGGGTAGGCTGACTAGCATTGTCAGGAGGTTGAATCAGCTGGACGAATTGCCCAGCTCACAAACCGAGGAGTTACGGTACTCCCATCGCGCCGCCCATCCGACGCGGTTCCTGAGCTGGACAACTGGTCCAGGTGGTCCAACCTTCTGACCATGTTAGTCGATGTAAATAGACAAAATACAAGTATGTCCGCAATGCGGCGTCTGATAGTATTGGCTCATCGATAGGGCGTATATCAGCTGGATGAGCACTGGGTTAGCCGACTAGCATGGTCAGAAGGGTAAATAGCCTGTACGAGTTGTCCAGCTATTGCCCGGGAACACTAATCATGTAGGCGGTCGTTTGACGTGGCCGCTCGCATCGCGCCACCTATTCAACGCGCAACCACGTTGAACAGGTGGCGCGATGCGAGCGGCCACGTCAAACGACCGCCTACATTTTCTGAGCTAGGCTTTACCGACGGAGCGATCGACGTGCGATAAAATGGGTTTCAACGGAAATACATGATTAGTGTCCCCGGGCACCTGAAGCGTTCAGATTTGGCAGGAGCATAGGCGGCAGGATGGAACACTGAGAGTAGGTGTCAGGACTGGACTCTCCCCGAGGGGGTGGGATGTGCGCTAAAACCGTTAAGTTAGACCTGGATCGTGCAGATTTGATAGGCGTAGAGGCGACAATATGGGAATACTGCCGGTAGACAAGACACCACCCTCAGGGTTGGGGGTGCGCATCAATTATGAACTTAGACCTAGATCGCTCTATTTAAAGGCACAGTTAACGATAGTTTCGAGGTAGCCATTTTGAGTTGAAAAGAGAAAGTGTTGATGTAGTGTAGTGCATTTGTGACGAAGAAAGCGAGAGAGTTCTCCTATATCGAGCAAAATAAGGCTTTTCAAAAGTAGTGGAAATAGAGGTTGTACGAGATTACCGTTACGGAAATGGCATGAAAGGGGTATTCGGACGAGACTTCAGTTGTGACAATTGCGGAAAGAGCCAACTACATCAAGTCGAAATTGTCTAAAACTGCTTTCCACTGTCACCATGGGTCATGGCAAGTTGTTAGAACTTCCTTCATGGTAGTCCCTTGAGATAGTGCAGCCTCTACAACACAGTTGAGTCTCGTCCGCTGTGGGTGTGGCATTCACACTATACAATCACAATCTCAGAAGCCATTTTTTTGCGAACTGCGCCTTTAATATGGGACAGGCTGCAGCATGGGAATGCTGCCGGAGGGGCACGACTAGATTCCATCCACAGGGGGTGAGGCGTGCCCGAAAATTGTCGATTTGGACCAGGGGCATCCAAGTTTGGGTGGGGGTACAGGGGCAGTACGGCAATGCTGATTGCAGGTGACACGATGAAGATGAAAGAAGAGTGGAATGAACTGAGTTAAACTAAAACTAAACTAAATAAATAAAAGTTACTTAAACACACATGAGTTGAGCAGGATTCCACTCATGACGAACAAAGCGCTCACGAAGTGTGCGTGTCAGGCCGAATCTAATAATTCCTGTTCTCCTGTACCGGAGCGTTCAAATTTGGGACGGACGTGGGCGGTAGGCCAAATCACACGAAAAGGAAGGGAGGCCGGCGTTACAAGAGCGATCCGATTGGTGTGTTTAAAACGATCACCTCATATGTAGCTCACGGTCTCATTTTTTGTGTGCAGTCACGCAGCTCAATTCCTCGCTTATTATAACTTCCCTACTTAGAATTCTGCGCTGCTGGACTGGAAATCGGCATGACATGACGTGACTATCCGAAAACTCGTCTAGCAATACAAGTTTCATATCAAGTGACCAATTCGACGGGTCTTTCCTTCGTGAGCACGTTCAAAAGTGTGGAAGTACTCGCTAACGTACCTTCAAAGACATGTCGTCGGAACACGAAGCAAGCCTATTTGAATGCTGATCATACTTGATAGCGTTCACTTCATTTCGATGACCCTAAATTAGACAACAATGACCTGCCATCACTAAACAACACCTAGTAAAGAAAGAAAATTACTAACAAGATATGTTCGAATTGGCTTATCACATCCTAGCCTACTGACGTGAATTGATTTATCCGTGGAACATGAGGCAAAGGTATCGTTTGTGATCCAATCGACATCAAGGGCAGAGGCCGTATGAAAATGGAACTGTTGCACTTGCTGACCTAAGATGGTAGCCACACAGTTCTACCGAACGAAAAATTTAAATTAACGACCAACCTTTAACAGCATCCCAAACAATAGTCGATTTATCCACGCCTGCCGAAAGTATAAAGTCGCCTTTGGAATTCCACTTGAGCGCGAAAATAGGTCCTTTGTGTGCTCCTAACGTGCATCGAAGACGCCCTAGGAGATGTTTGTGTAATAGTATCGTTGACCAATACGGGTGTATATGAATTTGTCGAGTTTTTAATCATATTTCCTCAGAGCTGTACTTAAAAGTTTTAGCAATAAATTCCTAGTAGTTAATAGTTGTACCTAAAAGCCCCAGGAATAAAGTTCATGACTCTAACCATGATACGAACCACAAGCGCTTGTTATTCTTATATTTCGAAACTGCCCTTTATATCATATCTCGAATTTATGGAAGTGGACTTAGAACTAGGTACCAAACAGCTAGAACCATTCCATTATGCAAAAAAAGAGATGAACCTTCAGCAGTCCATATTCTTGCGAAGCCATCGTAGCAACCAGTTGCCAGCAGGTCACCAGCAGCGTCCCAGTCAAGACTTGTTACATCCTTAATTGAGATAGAAAATTGTCCCAACCTCATTTTCCTCCTCTTGCCAATTGAGCTCCTTGCTCTCAACTCGGCACTATGCCAAAGCACGAACTTCGTGTGGGTACTTTGATGAATCCACTGTTTTGACTATTCAAAAAAGACTGAAAGTAAAAACGAAATACGAACCTTATTCGATGGTTGCTGTGCTTTCTCAGATTCTCCAGACGTACAATGTTTCAGAACCTTTGTACGTGCTTCGAATTCTCTGGACGGCGTTGCCGGATTTTCCGAGCCTGCTAAGTTCCAAATTCGAGCAGTTGAATCTCCTGATCTGAAACATATAAAAAAATTGAGAGCAACTCTAAAAATGCTTGGACCAGTAACATTGACAGTTGAGCCACAAAAATACCAGAGAGTGAAGAGGCTCATTTTGTTTCATATGAGATTTTACGATCTGTTAGAAAAGCATTCGCGCACAACCACAGACTCTCTTTACTGGGTGCGTAGTGCGCCGCTCGATCATCATAACGTCTTTTCAACATATTGCGTACCTTGACTTGCGGCGCACAGCACACGACCACACAGGGCGGTTTTTTGAGGGAATCGCAAAGTATATGCTGTTCGAACTCCATTCAAACTCTAATCTGGATCAGGCACGCGGAGGCGAAGAGGCGCTACACCATGTGCAGCACGCGGTACGCAATGGGTTAACGTATTATTCGCGTCTACCAGGCAATCAAATCACGTTTCGAAGTTATCCAATTGACTTGCGCTTCTTTTGCTTACCGGATATTCTAGAGCAGTTAACCGGTGAATGGTACAATCTGCTCCGCTTTACACCAGCATTAATTCGCTACCGTCAAGTCCAAAAAATACTCAGTATTCGAGACAGGGTCAAAAGGTATACCCCAACACAACGATAATCATTAAGAAGAAAACACTCACCCTGAAGCCATAAGGTCCTCCACTGGATTCCAAGCACAGATGAACACCTCACTACTATGACATTTCAGGAAACGGACTTTATCCTCAGGGAACTCAAGAACATCCGTATGGCGAACACCATTGGAATCGCCACTTACAGCTCGCGGTGCAGCCACGTCGGTTCTTTAAAAAAACCTGTGGTGAAATCTCAAAGCTAGGAATGGAGAGGTATATTAATAGCGACATATTACGGAATGAATGGAGGAACCCACAAACTAGACGCTTGTTGAGCAGCTTGTTGCTTCTTCCCATGAACACCCAACGTAGTACCATTGTTTCGTGATGGCGACATCATCTACACGAGATTGATTAACCTATACTTAATGTCCTAGCTCCGGAGCTGAGCAGAAGGAAACGCGCGGCGCGGGGATCGTTTCGGAACATCGAGGGAGTAGTGAAGAGGACAAAGGACAAAGAAGTTTCGGCTTAGTGCTCACCTTTTCGATACTGCGGTCCTTCCTGCTTTGACATACGCCTCAGCACATGAGCTCCACGAAAGCAGGATGAGCATGCAGTTAGCGTCACTCAACGCGCTGTGGAAAAGACTATGCTCGGAGTTTTCCTATGCACGCAATATTGGAAGGGAATCCAGAGTTCCGAGCTTCGCCGACGAACGAAGATCAGGGATGCCGTTGATTACGCCAAGAAATCGCAAATCAGATAGGCCGGTCATGCGATATAGTAATGACTGTTGGACCAGGGCGGTTACGGACTGGATCTCACGGTACTTTAAACGATACCAGGACGGCCGCCGACCCTATGGTCAGATTTCCTTACGAAAGCTCTGAACGAAAGGAGTGTTTCGCCGCGTGTTCAAACGAGCACGATTCAGTGGACTACTCTGACTCGCGACAGCGACGAATGGAGACGTTACCCGCTCAAGGAAATCGATGATCAACGGGACGAACTGATACAGGTGAATACACTCAATGGCGAAGATAAAAAGAAATCGTTGAGGAGGAGAATTTCTATTTGAATACCAAAAATAGAGAACGTGCGTGCATTTATTTTGAGGGCAGTGTAAGATGGTGAAGGTACCATACAAAAATTGCGCAACGCGTTGTTCAATTCCAGCCATGTTTTTCCTTTTCTTATAAATCAGTATTGAAACCCTAACAAAACTTTACAAGTTCACGCCGTTCAAGAGCTCTTCCTGAGAAGCGGGTAAAAATATCTGTGAAGCTTCAATTTCTCCAATATTTTTTGGGCTATAGTTGGCGATTTAGACATTTTTAAGACATTATTGCTAAACAAAAAGTTGTACAGGTACTTCCTCTTCGCACCCTCTTTTATTCGAATGTTGAGCGTAGATTGAATCACATGAACCCCATGCTATATTATGCAAGAAACAAGCTAGAACTCACTGCAGGGGTCGCCGTTTCACTGTTTGACACCGGAACCGTTTGAGAAGTTCGAAATTTACTGAGAGGAGGCTCGGCCATAACTGCAATTTCATACACTTGAGAATCAATAAATAAATAAATGGATTAGATAAATCGAGCAGGAAACACGATACCAGCTTCGATGAGCCCAAGCGTGTCCGTCTTTTCATCGAGCATCGGTGTATTGTCTGGATTTGCCATCGCACGAAACTCCGCTTCCGCATAGAAAAGACCGCGCTAATGATTGGGATGTATGAATTTGATATTATCACAAGATGAGCAGTGAGTTTTAGTTAAGATTTACCTGAACCATCATTACCAAGGCACCGGATGCAACTTCCGTGCAATCAATATCGCTGTCAACCAGATTCGACTCCAGTGCGAAAACATAAGCCGAATGCTCGAAGCCTAAACAGTACTGCAGTATGAACTTCAGAATAGCAGTAAACTAGGCAATAATTGAACAGCAGTTTAATCCAGAGCTCATTTATACTCAAAGGCATATGCAGTTTGGCACTGGATTCCAATATATAGTCTCGAAATTCCGTTTGCTTGTCAATAGATGCATCGGTGGCATTTTCCAGGTGTCGTTAAAGGTGTCACCAAATTTGTGGAGATTCGAACTGCAATCAAGACCCACAAATGCTGAATGGAGTCGGAGATGTGACAGATGAGAGTTCGACAAGTATCAAGGCCGGCCACCTCTCAATTCTTGAAAACTCCTTGAAATAATTGGTAACCTTCTATTCTGTGGTAATGAATTCACAGCCTGGATTTATCAGCGCAACAGAAATTCTAGGTGCTCATCACCTATAATTATTGATATCATGTAGACTTCTTTTATTTTTTATGTTAGAACCTACCAGTAAATAGAAGACGGCCATCCCTTCCGGCACATTTTTGATGAAAGAACAAGAAAAAATCCAAAAAAGTTCTTCACTTCAAATTAAGGTTCAAAATCAAAGTGAAAATGGATCTAAAACATTCCGCTCACTATATTTCCCGTTCATATGGAAATCACACTGGTCGGCAGCTGTCATTACCAATAAGCATAACGTGCCTCTTAACCTTCATTAAAATAAATGGAGAAAAGGCGGAGAGTGATCTTGCCTGATTCAGTCAAATACCTCCAGACGATATAGTTCAGTTCGTTACTAGAGAAACTCATTGTGAACGAATCTCTATCAAAAATCCAGGAAGTCAATTCGTGTCGGTTGCAGAACGATCAACCATACAACGGCGCTACTTCAGAGGATGCTCTAAAATAATGTAGCCACTCTCGTGACAATAGAATTTCAACGAAACAACGTCGATCGACGATCATGCTTAGAACCATGACAATCTATTTCCTAAACTAAGCCTCCCAGAATTTTTGCACGAGTCAGCGGAAATCTCTAGACGACTTGCTAAGTTTCAAAGGGTTTGCGTTTCCTTATCTGAAATTTTATATGACCATATGCAACTCGATGTGAAATTATGACTTGGTAAACCGCAGTGCCCCCTTACTTGTGAGTGAAAATTGATCGGAGAACGAGTAGTTATAGTAGCAGAATGCCCCGCAATGAAGTCACGCATCCGAGCTGCAGAAAATGAAGAAACAAACTGCGAATGTGCATAATGTAGAGATCGCCGTCATATTGTAAATACCTATCGAATGGGTTCGAGGGAAGTTAGAGCCCAAGAGTGGGGCAGGGGCAAATCAGAGATTGGGCTCAACCAACCATACCAACTTCTCATTGTATCAAAAAGCCCATTTCGGATAGACATATGCGTCAATGTGCGAACAACAGCTATACAAAAGTGAAAACTAATCGAGCTCATACGATATCATGACAACAGTTAATTCCTGATTTTGTTTGGTAATTAGCGATAGTAACGTATGAGGTAAGTACTGCAATCAAACGATTTGAAAAGGGTTGCCACATAAGGTGATGCCTTGGTTTGACGATAGATAACTGATTTGATGAATTTTTGGAAGGAACTGCAATAAAAACTAGTAATTTATCAGATTTCTTTCAAATAACCAGGTACGTAAGGTGGACACTTAGATTCAAATTATACTCATGAAAATCGATACGAGAAAAGGCAGCAGGGGCGCAGCAGACTCCAGAGTTGCGGGTATGGAACGGAACGAGACACATACCACGGTGTATGAATAGGAGAGACATAGCGCTCCGTCCTCGCGCTCTCTTCCTCTGCGGTTCTTCATCGTCATTAGTGTTCTGGACCGTCGATGAGTCAATTCAGTGCTAACAAGTACCCATTGATTTCGCCGATGGCTTCTGAGATAACTGGCTACTGAGATTTCCTGCTTTCAAAAGTCTATCAGAGCGCGTAAAAGTCAAGGTTGTCAGCTCGTGCGTTCTCGCTGTTGTCCTGAAAATATTATCCGACCTGGTGGAATTTATCTCTAAGGCGCCAAGAGTGCAGTGGATTTCTGCATATTGAGTAGCTTAGTTGCTATCAACTCCACTATTCGACATTCAAAATTTTGCTAGAAATCGTGTTAAGAGAGATCTTAATTCCACTGATTTTGAGAAAACTACTGAGTTGCAGGGCACCCCAGGGTTGGGAAGCGGAGAATAGTCCCCGAAGAACTGTTTGTTTTGCCGTGGATAAGATAAGTGAAGCCGGAGCGCAGTATTTCACGCCTCCAGTACCGTCTGGGCAATGTTAGACTGGTATCCGAAGTTCGTGTTTTCGATTGGATGAGCCGAAATTTGGAAGGAGTGTGGACTTTGTCTCGGGTGACAACAGTAAACTGCCTGCCTGCAGGAGAACGGAATATTCACCCGATTCTCGATGTTCGTGAACTGTGCGGCAAAATTCGTGGTGATTTGAACGAGTGTGCGCCTATAATTGGGGCCCAAATTTGAAGTAGGGTAGTCTACTTTTCCAATATACGTAAAACCTGCGCCGTAATGACAGGAGCCAGAACCACTCAAACCAACACGAATTTCGCCTCGCAGTTTGCCGCTTCCATCCAGAATTAAGTGAATGTACCCATACCCGCCTGCAGGAGGATGGAACATTCGCCCGTTCGAAGATGCACACAGTAAATTGCGCAACAAAATTCGTGGAGATTTGGACTACTTCGGCCATTGTCACTGGGGCGCGAGTGTCGAGTAAATTAGTGCGACAAGATGACAGGAAGGATGCGAGATCCCGAGCGGCCCTCCTACCTTCCATTCCCTTCCTCTTTTGCTTTTCTTTTGCTTTCTTGTTATTTAGTAAAATAGTGGAACGTTTGCAATTGTTATTACTCTAAACACTGTATTAGCTGTTCCACCGGTGGCCCCATTGATCATCAATTTCCCCGAGCGGGCGCCAGTGATGTCTCCATTCGTCCCTGTTACAATCCGATGAAGAGTAGTACACTGAATCGTCCTTGCTCCATGTACACGATGCCCGGCATTCCTTTCTTAAAAGAAGAAAGGGGTGCTGAGCCTCGTGTCCATGGAGCAAGGACGATCATGAAGAAGTCTGACCATGAAGTTCAGAGCCTCGTTGACGGCCGTACTGGTGTTCGCTTGACGTCCTGAGCGATCCAGTGAGTAATCGCTCTGTTCGAACGGTAATCACTATATCGCATAACTTGTCCGGCCCACCTGATCTTCAATTTCTTGTCGTAATCAACGGCATCCCTAACCTTCATCGTTGACGGAGCTCGAAACTCCGGATCACTTCCTGCACTTGCGTGTATAGGGATTCCGAGCATCGTCCTCTCCAAAGCGCGTTGAGTAACGCTAACAGCATATTCATCCTGCTTTCTTAGAGTCCATGTCTCCGAGCCGTACGTTGAAGCAGGAAGTGCAGCAGTGTCGAAAAGGTGAGCGCGAAGCCGGATGTTCTTTGTCTTCTTCAATACCCCCTCATATTCTTGAATGCTCCCCACGCAGCTCGTTTCCCTCTGCTCAGCTTTGGAGCCAAGTCGTTCGTCATGTTGACTTCCCGATTTAGATAAGCGTAGCCAGAGCACTCAGAGATATACGTTTCGTTCAGTGTGAATGAAGCATCAGGAATCATTCCATTTCTCATAAATGTCGCCCTCGTTAGGCACAGTTGTAAGCCGACTTTCCACAAGCACTGTTACCTCGGTCAACATTCGTTCCGCCCGCTCGATATTCGGAGTTATAAGCACGACTCGCCTGCAAAGCGGAGAAGATGCAGGTAGCGGCCGTCGACCTTCATCCCCATGCCTTCTCATATCATACTGCGCATGGTTTTCCCGAGAGCTTCACTGAAAAGTTTGGGCGAGATGGTGCCGCCTTATCGAACCGCTTTTCACGTTTGTGATGAGTCTTCTATAGAGTAGGAAGATCCTGGTCGTCAAGTTGTTGTAGAACTCACAAAGCATCTCATATGTATATTAAATAGCAACACCCTGGTTGCCGAGATCCAATTTCTGTTCCTGTTTTGGCGGTATCAGATGAACGTAAGACATAACGGCATAGTCGTGCAAATCGCCATGATTTTTGCCGCGTAATTTGTCGTGTGCATCTCTAAAGGCAAATTTACACATACCCCTGCCTGCAACGTAGGACAATAAATCCCTGTTGGAATGGTGCGACCTCTACAGCCTCTACATCGCAATGAGAAGTCGCTCACCTTGAAGTATGCGTCAGCTAGGCCAAAGTTTTACACTTATTGTGCCCTAACTGTACCTTTTTTAGTCCAATAGCGTCCCTTGTGCTATTCGTGGAGGACACAGGTTCACCCTAGAGAGCAATTAAAGAACCATTCTTATCGTGAGCTGTTGTATTAAGAATACGACATTCAAGTCCTGTTACTCGCTGCGCTTTTGTTGGGTATGCTTTCTATACACGTTCCTTTCTCTGAAAATATGAACGTAATAACAAGTTAGCGGAATATTCGTAATCGTGCTGCCCAGCTGACGCCGGGCTTCCCTCTTTCCTGTGACTGAAATGTATTAATTGAAAAGTAGGGCGCTCCCTATTTGGAGCTTTTCGTAATGTAAAATCTGACAGAGGGCTAACAGAGCATGCAAGTGCCTATGCTTATACCTATGATTGGCAGTCTCTATCTGTTGCTGCTCATCTTAGAAAAATAGCCCGTTGAAGGTTTGTTTGGTAGGCAAAGAAAGCCTAATGGTACTCCCCAATGTTGTCGAGTAATAATAAGAATTTATTCAAATGCGCTATAAATGGAGCGGATACATATAATTCATTAGATGAGAATCTAAGATCATTAGCGGTCGGATAAGTCTTGCCAAAAGTGATATTGAAGGAAAGCAAAACCGTGATCCTTCGTTGAGTCACAAACCTTGCTGGGAGCGGTCATAATCTCATAGCAATGAATGAACGGACCTTCATCTCCTCACAATTTAGTACATTAAGTGGTTCCTGTAACCGCACTTACCCTTTTTGTCGAATGAGATATATCGAA